CTAAATCAAATTGCATTGATGGGATGGATCGATTGATTTGGATAGTCTATTATTTGTTTCCTTCACATCCATTATATGTTTCCTAAAGCAAATTGCATTGATGAGATGGATCATTTGATTTGGGTAATTTAGTAAAGTTAGATCTGTGTCTTTTTGTACGATAGGAAAGTGTTTGTTTAAAAGGAAATAGTGAAAAAATAAACCGATGGGGTGGTGGGAGGGGGGACGAAAAAACCCAGACGAAAGTGGTGGGAGGATGACGAAAATAAAACAGAGGTGGGAGGATGACGAAAAAAACCAGCGAAAAAAAACCGCACAGACTATTCACCAAGTCGTCCATTAGGAGTAGAGACTCCTAATGGAGCAGTTGGTTGCCATTAGGAGTAGACCCGCAGGTTTTTTTTCATCCCACCACTTTCGTCCGGTTTTTTTTGTAGGTTAACCGTCGTAGATTTTTTTCGTCGCCTCCCCCACTTCATCGGTTTATTTTCACTTCACCCTCTCACACAACGAAAAAAACTAAACGGATCAGAACTTTCCATACTGACGCAAATTATTTAGTAATGTCTTTATGTAAAAGAATCAATCACAATCAATCTCTAAAGATCAAATCTAAATTAATTAATCTTCATAACATTTGTTTCCTTCCGAATCACGTCCATAACTTTCCTTCCTTGTTTGGGCAGAAACTGTTTGATAGCAGAGATTAGGAAGCTTCCTATGAGTGTAGTAATAGGAAGTATTCTTTTTCTTGATGATTCGTTTCCATGCATGATGATAGTAAATTAGGCCAACATTCACCACTATTTATCAACGTCATCAATCGTATCCATTCCTACCAGTTTTAAGGGAATCTGCTCGCTATGTCTTTTTTAAGGGGATCCGCTCGCTAAGTCGTCATCGCACGTTATTTTCACAAGCAATTCCCCTAAAAAAAGGCGTGGGTATTGGTAGTTGAACGCCCGCTAGGTTTTCCGCTTGTCCCATCCTCGCGTTGTGCCGCCGCCACCCGCCGAATTTCCAGCCGCCCGAGCTCGTTAACTTCGCCAGCCATCGGGTCGACTGCCCCCGCCCCAAACCCCCATCCCCGAGCACTAGCTATCGCCGCGTTGCCGCCCCAAGCTCCACGCCACCGGGAACGAATCAAGCGCCGTCCCGACACCGCCGTCGCCGGCCCAGCACCTCTAGCCTTGCATGGACAGCTTCAATGTGCAGTCTCCCTTGCTGCCTCACCTTCTGCCAGCGCATGCAGCGGCGGGGTTGGACGCGTGCGTGCTTGCTAGCTTGCTCTCCGTGCGTACGTACTTGCTCTGCGTGCGTCGCACCGGCCAATGCGCATGATGCGTGTGTGCCTGCTTTTCTGTATGTGTATGCCAGCGTGATGCGTGTGTGCGTTGTTGTGTGTGTATGATATAGATGGCCCGAGTGTGTGCATGTTGTGCTCTGCTCTCTGCTGATCTATGTGTTGGTGCTCCTGCTATATGTTCATGTCATACAAATGAAATTTCTGTTAATCTTCTGACATGTTGAGTTGGTTCTCTCTGTCTTCTGAGGGGGTGAATGCAAAGCAGTCTATTAAGCCAGGCACTATTGCTGAGCTAAATTGACAGAAAAATATTGGTAGTCATAGTTGTAGTTTAAGTAGTAGCGAGTTGTCTGATATGTATAAAGAGCCCGTTGCAACTGAGCCCGTTGCTAAATTGATAAAAAAGGTCGTCAGTGTCACTTGATATGTATGAGATTATGAAATGTATTGTTAACATGATTAATATTGAACTCTTAATTCTAATGTGACCCCGTTGCAACGCACGGGCTTCTTTTAGTATAAGGTAGTATTGATCATTGATAGCAGGGCCGGCCCTGAGAGGGGGGGGGGGGCGCCCCGGGCCCCCGATGGCTAATGACTTGGTTTCCTTACGTTGTGATATTTAGAAAATAATTGTGATTTTTAGGAAATGATTTTTTTCCCTTGTTAACAGATTGACTGATTCTTAAAATGGTAATCAATTATTTCCCATTTTACAGATCAGTGATTTTTTTACACGTGTGATTTTTAGGAAAGAATACTTTCCCATGTAACAGATTGACTGATTCTCAAAAAGGGAAACAACTATAACAGATAGATTAATTCCGGCCTTGCCGCACGCGCGTAGTCTTCTCATCTTTCTACTTCTTCTCTGGGACGAAACAGCCATGCTAATACCAAGGTCGCCTGCGTTGTCTACTTATGATTTTCGGAGATTCCATTAACCTCCTCTTCAACGCAAATCTTCTGTTTTTAGTCCTGTCAGATTGTTCGGTTCGTGAAGTTAATTCTCGTACATCTCTCTCTCTCTCTCACTCTAATTTCTTGTATTGTTTGGGAATAGAAAATGGAAACTCGGATTTCTCTTCGTGATTCGTATGCAGAAGCAAAAGCTTGCAATTTTGAATTTTCTAGCCATCCAGGTACATCGCTCCATGACTCTTTCTTAGCATTTATGTATTATTTAATTAGTACTGTTCTTAATTTCTTGTATTGTAGATTTTATTTGGATAATATCATCTAACAACGTGAAAAAAATAGAGAAAAAAACGTGAAAAAAAAAGAGAACATGCAAATGAGTTTATTGAGTAGAAAAGTACCTCTGCTAGGGATTTCGAGGAATTAGCTTTAGTTAGTTATTGCTGAATAACAACCTAGCGAAAAATTATAGAATGATAAAATTTTGAGTTGGCACCGAAGGGAAAAATATAAGTATTGATTGGCAAGACCGACCAAATTTTATGTGAATGATTATGGCCCCAGTTTTTCTGAATAGTCGACATGACAAGGCAACATAAATTCTAGTGTAACAAGTATTTATTTGTATTTGAAATAGAAAAAAATATGTGGGTTTAGGGCCCCTTTTTGTTATCTTGCCCCGGGCCCCCGAAAACTCAGGACCGGGCCTGATTGATAGGTTCTTTTCCGATCGAACAGAGGAGGAAGGAGAGGAGCTCACGATGGCTGTTTGGTAGGCGATGCCAAACAATCTCGCCGGTGGCAGCGGGTCCGTCCAACGGAAGATGCCGCCACGCAACTTGCTTGGCTGCCACGATGAAATGAGCCCCTTCACCTCTGCTGTAGAGAAATCATCCTGGTGATTTTAGCAAAGGAGAACAAGGGCCTCCACAGATCGAAGAAAAGACAACCCCAGGAAAAAGATCAGTTTATCTCAATTTCCAACTGCCACCCCAACATTACGGTCCTTAATTTTACACCTCTAAACCTTTTCAGCGATAACCTTGGCAAAGCAACATGACCACTCAAATGTCCTGAGCTGTGGCATGCTTTTTGTTGTTGTTGTTGAACAATGAACCCGACTAATCCCCTTTCCATTTTCATAACGGAAATACAAAGTTTTCTGAAAAGGGAAAGTCAAGTACATGCACCGCCTGGAAACCCACTATGGATGCTCGGTATCGAAATGTCCACTATGGGGAAAAACCCGACGACACAAAAGATACTATCTTATCAAAACACAAACATGCCCGCTCACACCCAACTTCAGGTCTAACTGGGAATCAAACGACAGAGCCACTACTCAGCTATATTGCTAGTAGAAGATCACAGCAGCACCATGGCCTAAACTCTTTGACAGTCCTCCTAACAACCAGCCAAGGAAGCACCATCTTGTACCGCCGCACAAATTCTCATCAGGTTGTAAGCGTTGCCTTCAGCATCACCGCCCCTTGCTCTAGTGCAGTCTGATCCCCAGTCTTCTGTAGCCCTGCCCAAAACAACAAGGAAGCGCAGGCCATGAGAACAACTTCAGAAGGGGTCTTAGCCTCTTAGGAAGCTCGAACTCAAAGGTCGCTCTGTTACGGCAAGCCCAAATTGCCCAACAAATGGCAGCCAGGCAAACAGTATAGAACTTCTCACCATCAGGAAAAAAAGACATAAAACCAAGAGTAAAATTGACGCGAGTTATTAGGACATAGATCAGTACCAAATACCGATCCGACCGAGCGCCAGGCAACTCTAGCAACCGGACATCTTTTTCCAATAAAAGGCAAGAGTTTGCGTTTCACTGCATTGAACGGGAAGACATTAGGGGTACAACCTCCAGGAAGGAGGGACACACGCGCGCACGCACACACACACACGACCGTCCTCACCAAGCGACTACAACTAGGTAAGGAGGTGCCCTCAACTACAGACACACAACGACATTAGGCCTCGCCTAGCCTGGCCTCGAGCCAAAGATGGCGAGGCACTGAGACTCAGAGCAACAGGGCAGCATCACCGCCATTGCTAGAAACCTTCAGGCCGAGACTTGGAGCAACTCTAGCGACCGGACATAGAAAAACAAATGTTGAGATATTTCTCCATCATTGCAAAAAGAGCATTTATAGGGTTTCCTGGCCAGTTTCTCCTAGATATCACATCCCTCATTAAAACAGCATCATGTGATAGTTGCCACAAAATATTTGTATTTCTAAAGGAATTTTAGATCTCTAAATCCATCTGTAGTCACAACCAGATAGATGTTTTTCCAGAAATTCATACACAGATTTAGCAGCAAAGATACTCTTACCCCCCAAGGACCACCTGATACTATCAGGAACAAAAGAAAGGTTCAAACCACCAACTATATCTAATACATTATTCTACTGATTTAGAAGCTCAGGAGACAATCTTCTTCTGATGAAAATATTGATATTTATATCAGAACATTCCTTGACTGTACACTCTTGGTAATTACAGACACTAAAGAGCTGAGGAAATGTTTCACATAACGGGGCATTGTCATTTAAAGGATCTTTCCATAACATGGAGATGCCAGCCATATAATGTTCTTTTACTCTCAATAATAGCTTTCCAACAAGCAGAGTCATTGAATTTCTCCTGACGACTGCATGTACGTAGCTAGCTTAGACTACCCATATAGTAGTAGTTATGAGCATACGAAAAGTAAATATCTCTAAATCTTCAGGACAGGACAAGGCATGTCAAATCCAAGACAGAACAGAAACGATAGCAACTAGCTCAATACTGCAAGAAAAGATCTGCAATGGGAACATGAGCTTAAAGCTCAGGCTCCCAGCTGAACAAATACAGTTAGAAGAAGCGTTCCTTCCAATATGCTTGAAAAAGTATTAGAAATAACTCACTCTGTTCCATTCTCACACGCATAAATCCTGTCATGTAGCCTCTCTCTGAGCTCAGCAGCAACGGATGGGAACTTGACAAGCAACAACCCACAACTCTCAGTGAACATGGCCTCTTTCAAATTTTTGCCCAGCATGATGAAGTCCATGCACTTGCTCTTCAACTCTGCACAGCTGTAGGTTTCGGCGCAAGCTAAGATAGTTGCGGCTGTTTCTACAGACACCTCCTCCCATAACTTGTGCGCGCAAATAATCTTTAGCCTGTCGAGTGCATACCGGTCGGCCGCAGCAAGCAGATCCTGAAGCATGTCAATGGGACGGCCCCCAGGCAGGTTGTCTGCGGGCAAGGCATCCGTGTACATGTACCTAAGCATAACTTCAAATGTCGCAGGCGTGATGTCCTGCAGCGTGATGGATGGCATTGTAGCCTCGGACATGGAGCCGAAGAGCTCCGCCCTGAAGACCGGCGAACGAGCGGCTAGCACTGCTCGGTGAGCGGGGAACATCTGGCCCTCGATGTCGGAGGGCGGCACCGGAGTGGAGCTTTCATCGATGACCATGATGGAGCACAAAAATGTAATGTGCCCATCAGCCGTTGTGTAATTTCTCTCCGCCAGACTTCCTGCGATGAACTGAGCCCATCCCCAGGTGCGGCCGTTCCCGTCGCCCGCCATGGTAGTCTCGCAGTCACGAAGAGTGGTCTTTCTTTGGCGCATTGACGGCCTGCCGCCCCTGTCCATCAAGCAAACCTCGAAGACAGGCATGACGGTTGTGGATTCGCCCATGTGCCTGAGGAAGACTGAAATGTACTTGCCCCCGTCGGAGACCTTCTCCCCGCGGAGCAAGCACTCGACCCTCCAGAGGCTGTCCTTCCCGACGGAGACGGTGTCGGAGTAGACGGCCTTGCCGATGGGGAGCTCATGGCTTTGCTCGTAGTCCACGCTCAGCTTGAGGACGGCGGAAGCCACCATCGTGGTTCGCGCCTCCGGCCCGGATGTCCTGGCTCGCTTGTTCAGTCAGAAATCTACGCTTGAGAAACCGGAAAAGAAGAGCAAAATTAAGAGGGCACTCACTCGCCGGATTTGGTAAGCCGCCGGAGGTGGCGATCTGCGCTCATGCGCCGCCGGCCGCGCCGACGAACTCTCGTCGCCGGCCCTCCTCTGGTCCGCCGTGCGCCCTTCCTCCGACTCCGCTGCTCGTTGCCTACTCTGGTGGGCGTCGCCGCCGCCGCCGCCGCTGCCGAGGGGGGACAATGGCTGAAGGTCGAAGGTTTTTTTTTTAGAAGGGCTGAAGGTCGAAGCTAGGTGCGAACCCCAATCAGGGGTGTAATGGGCCGCGCTCCAGCCTTCTCTGTGTGGACACGACGTCGCTTTTGTTTTGTTAGCCAAAAAAAATTCACAAATTTGTTTTCTTTTTGCGAATTAAAATTCACAATCTGCTTTTTCCTAATTACTTTCTCCGTTCCTAAATATAAGTCTTTTTAGAGTTTCCACAATGGACTACATACGAAGCAAAATGAGTGAATCTACACTTCAAAGTATGTCTATATACATCAGTATGTAGTTTGTAGTGGTATCTACACTTCAAAGTATGTCTATATACGTCCTGGCTCGCTTGTTCACTACACACACTGACTCAGTCAGTCAGTCAGAAATCTGCGCTTGAGAAACCGCCGTGCGCCCTTCCTCCGACTCCGTTGCAGCTCCGCTGCTCGTTGCCTGCTCTGGTGGGCGTCGCCGCCGCCGCCGCCGCCGTCGAGGGGGGACAATGGCTGAAGGTCGAAGCTAGGTGCGAACCCCTGTTACTCGGAACACTTCTGCCGGTTCTTCTTTGCGGGGACTCGCCCAATCAGGGGCATAATGGGCCGCGCTCCAGCCTTCTCTGTGTAGACACGACGTAGCTTTTGTTTTGTTAGCCAAAAAAGAATTTCACAAATTTATTTTCTTTTTGCGAATTAAAATTCACAATTTGCCTTTTCCTAATTACTCGTAAAATTTTGTTGCAAAGAGAAGGACATAATGTATCATCATCTCCCCCACCCGATGATGCGAAAAAAAACAGTCACTCACCTCTGCCCAAATTGACAACATCATCTTGGTTTGCAACGAACACACACAAGCCATATCCATGAACTACAAAATGCACAATATTATTCTACAAGTAATCATAAAAATGATAACTTCAGAGACCGAAAGATGATCCATTAACTTTCAGTTGCATTACATAGTGCAACAACAACACATACAAAGCAAAAGATTGTAACTTGACACTGACAACAGTAGCACATACTACAAGTTCATCTCCTAAACAATTGGGCATGGACACTAACATAGCTAACAACACAAAAGCACACCAACTCCATCATCTCCATCAGTTCTTCACTAGTGAAATGGCTACCATTGCTAAAAGTAGAATGACTGTTGCCATCAATGCCTTCATCAGCAGCAGCATTTCATTGCCTAACCCTAGGAGTGCCTCTGTTTGCTGCTTGCCATGCTACCTGCAACTCTTCCATGAATTCCATCTTCAATGCCTAGAAGCATATGGCTTTCATGCATCCACTTCACCTGCAAACCTTCTGCTCCTTTCTCGAATCAGCTCTTCCCTCCTAACCTCTGTAGCTCGTAATGCATCTCATGCTTTGTTGCCAATGAGGAACTGCTTATCGAGAAGGTAGGCAACGTATTCCAATTCCCAATGCTAGGTCCTAAGAACAAAATTGACGAACAAACGCCAAAAGTCACCATGACAAGTTCCACAAAAATCAACCAAAACAAAGAACTAGGGATGCACTCCACTTACACCGACAGGACACCTATAGAAGACTCCCCCCCTTCATGCTTCTTCGTGCTAAAGAGATAGAACTTCATGCGAGTGCGGCACTTCGGGCATCTGATGAGCGGCACCACCACCGAATGACCGCCGAGCGATCACCTGACCAAGCTTGTCGACATGGCAAAGGCAAGTAACCTCCAAGACGCGGGGAGTGGGCGGCGATAAGCAAGCTCCAACAGGGAGTGGGCGGCGACAAGCAAGCTCCAACAGGGAGAGGGCGGTGGCAAGCAAGCTCCAATGCGGCGGCGGCAAGAAATGGGGAATTAGTGATTTGAGAGGCCGACGGGATTCCGCAACCATGTGATTTCAGGGGGTCGATGGAAATTACATGCGCCAACAAATTTACATAAATAACACCAAGCGGGAGGATGTGGACGCCTTTGACTGGTCAAACCGAGGGACGACGAGTGACATAGGCAGAACAGTGACCGTACAAACACGTCATGCCGTATTGGCCATATTCTGAGTATAGTACACTAAAGAGAGCTTTCTTCTTAAGTTCAGTGACTGCCATTGCCTTTTACCCAATCTAGAAAAACACAAAGTCGCCCCTCATTTTCTGCTTAAATCTGGGTTGTTTATCGGGTGTGCCTGGTTTGGTGTCAAAAGTCTAGGCATGCCACCCCCGTCTTATTTTCTTTCCTTTTTAGAGAATGGGTGATCTGGAGAGGTGGAGTGTCTGTAAAGTATGTGTTCGAGATTGGTCGACCGATTCTGCTCGTTTCCCAACACAAATCATCGAATGCATGAAAATCCAACGGCACTTGTAAGATTCATCTTGCACCCACAAGACAAAAGAGACTGAAGAAGGTCCACGTCCTACTGTCACCCACTGAACCAATTAGATACTTTGCTTTAAGACATAAATCTGGCACGTATTTGGACTTGTGGAAATTATTTATACATTACCTATGCCTCCTCACATCATGGTGCACTATGGAGATCCGTGCCATCCTATTGGCCACATGGCATCTTACCGTTTTGCCGGTTTGTACTCTGATTTTCTCTTTTGGTCAAAAAAAATATTTCATGGGGAAAAATCATGTAAATGTCCATGCGCATTTGTACATTAGTTAATACAAAAGCTGAAATGGGTAATTTTCTATGTTGCATATGTTCAAGCAAACGTTCTGTTTCCAAGTTTCCCGCAAAAGAAAAAATAAAGAATGTTTCGGCCTTTCTACGACTTGCAACGGTGCCCGTTGGAGTATAAATATGGACCAGTTGGGTCCCTGGAGAGGAGTGATACACAAATTCCACAGGAGACGAGGGGAGAAGACAGAAAAGGCAAACTCCAGCGAGGAAAGAAATGGGCCCGAAGAGAAAACTGGATGACCTGGCCCAGCCATCCAGCGCGGGAAGCAGCGGAGACCACGGCGGCGGCGGCGGCGGCGGCGAAGGCGATGATCGACCGACGAAGGCGCCACGGCTCTCGCCGTCGCCGCCACCGCCGCCCGCGCAGTCGCCCTCACTGCCCCCGCTTCAGCCGCCAGGGTCCCCGCCGCCTCCCGCCGACAAGGATCCGGTGAGTTCCCACCGTCTTGTACCAGCTTGGGTTGCGATTGCTCGGCGATCTTTTCGCCAGAATTTGGCGCGTCCGGGTGTTCTTTATGTCGTTCTTGGCCTGTTTCTTGCGCCCAATTTGTCGTTCTTGGCTGTCGGGTCGGTGAGGTGGCTGTAGCATATGGGGGGATGAGTTCTTGGCTGTAGCATATGGGGGGATGAGTTCGAATGGATTGGTTTGATACTCGCCGACCCTTCTGCAAGTTCTTGCAGTTCGTGGGGAGATGGATGGGGTTTTCTATTTTGACCCAAAATTGTGTTCTGTTAATTCTTGGTATAATCGGCTGAAATTGGTAACCTAAGAATGATGCTCTGGTTTTCCTGCAAAGAATTATTTCTTGATTCCCTGTTCACTCCATTTTTCAGGTGGAGCTGGAAGAAGGGGAGCTAGAAGATGATGCAGATTCACGGGAGGAGGAAGAGGATGATCAGGATTCGGATGAGGAGCTCGGAGGATCACTTCCTGGTAACTTCTTCTGTGTACTCTTCATGAGTGATCAAGGAAACATCCCAGATGATACCATTTCATAGTAACTTATTCTATACTGTTCAGAACTTGCACTCAGCACACAAGATTATCTTTCACTGCGAGAAACCTCGAGCCAGTTGCTGGATGGCCACAGAACGTACTGTTGGTTTTGATCTGACGGCTTAAACAGGCAGTTAGATCTATTAGTCTAACAAAAAAAAAGATAAAGGGATAACGATAAGTGAAGGGGTCCACGTACCAACGTACGTGAGCCTCGATCAGAACTAACGCGCCCTGATCGGGGGCGCCCAAAAACCAACTCAGGTTTTGGGTCCCCTGTCGCCAGCGTCATATTAAAAGGGATACGGGAGAGAGCTGGGCACCTGCGAGATTACAATTCACGTAAGGCTTACTCTCCTCCCGATATTCTCTCACCCCATCCGATCAAGGGGAGTGCTGCAGCGACGGGAAGACCTAAGCCAGCCGCCGCCGCTGTCCCTGGGCAGTGCCGGTGGCGTCCTGAAGGAATCAGGACGTCGAGGAGAACATCTACTTCGACTACATCACCCCTGCATCACGCCTGCACCGAGCAGGCGATCATGTCCACTCCCGTGACATGTAAAGAAACCCTAAACCCTTCTCTGTTCATGTTTTAGGTGATCTAGATGCAATCTGTTTCTGCTAATGGCATCCCAGAGATGCATAATTTATCCAACAATGGTATCAGTCGCCAATCTTGATTGCAATAGATTCCTTTATTGTTGATCAGCAGATCACTATCATGTTTAGATCAATGACATGTTTAGGGTTTATGATCAAGATTGAAAGTTTTACCCCTGGTTAGCCCAAATATGCATGCTACTGTCTTAATGCCCTCATGTTGTATTCTAATTTGCCACGGATCTCCACTGCCATTATGCTTAATCTTTTTTAATTAAGCCTCTAAAGAATTAATGCTCATGATTAAGTTTCTGTTAATTTAACTTGATCCTCTTTTAAGTATCTGTTTCCGTTTGGATTATCAAATTAGAAGGCAGAGGGATACATAGCACACATACAGTAGCAAAACCCCATGTTGAAGAACCCTAGAAAAATCCCCAATTTCGGTAGAACCCTAATTCTTTAATTAGGGCTGTTTTTAATCCAATATAAGCCCTGATGAACACGAATTGGAAAAGAATGAGGCATAGGCTCACCTAATGCGCCGCGTAGCCGCCTTTCCCTTCGGGGCCCGCACTGCATCAAGTGGTGCGAGGGCGGAGACGCCGCGACGCCGTCGCCTCCCACCGGAGCGACGGGCGGAACGTTTCCTAGCCGCCATCGCCGCCACTTGACTGGACGAGCTCGTCGCCGTCGCCCCACATGTCGCGGTGGCCGGCGTCCCTCCTCCCCTGATGCGCCATGAGCACGGACGCCGGGGCCACGTTCGACGGGGTAGCGCACGGGATTCACCCCGCTGCACGCTCCTCCGGCGAGCGCAGCCGCCGCGCCGCCATGGCCGGCGCGCCTCGGGCCGCCGTCGAACCCCGTCACGCCTCGGGCCGCCGTCAAACGCCAGTGAGTGTGGGAATCGGGAGGAGGGGAAGAAATGGCTAGGGTTTCACCCAGCCGGCTGTTTTGCTCACTTGCGGGGCGATCCGAGCCGTCGGCTCGATCCGACGACTGAAAGTGACGCGCGGCTCCCAGCCGGGCCGTCGGCTGCTTAACGGGCCATATCCGGCCGCGGGCTTCAGCCCAGGTAGTTTCAGTCCAGCAAAAAAAAAATTACGCTACTGGACTGAGCTGCATTTCGGACAGCGTGGGGATTTTGGGCCAAAAACACTGTCGCGATTTTCTGTTTTTCCAGTGCGTTTAAGTTAATAAATATTATGATTTGCACTGTTTAAACCAGAAAATGCCTAAAAATAAAATGAACACATTATTATTCTGGGTAAAATTGAACCAACAAGATTTTTTATTCAGGATTTATTATGTGTTTTGCATGATGAATTTTTTTTAGACATCAAAAATAATGATATTTTCTTCTATGTTGATGTTTAAATTAAGAATGAAATGACTCTAATTTTAATTCGGACCAACGTTGTTTTATTATTACGAGTCATCCCCTGTGATATTTCATTCCATGTTTTTTCTGCCCAACGGTGTTTTGACATGGAGTTGAAATTAAATACTTGGCATGTTTGTTTATTTACCAACGTAAATTTATAATCATGCAAGTTTACTTATGAACTTTTATGATGATTTCAGCTTCCGCTCCATTCCGGTCCGACACGATCGAACCACTTACGGTGAGTAACTTCCCTCGTTGGAAGTCCCAAGTCGAATTATGTTTGGGTTGTAATGAATTTGACTATGCCTTGAGGGAAGAAAAACCTGTGGCACCTGTGGCAGGTGTCACAGGGTATGCAGAACTCAAGAAGGAGTATGATGTTAAGATGGAAAAGTGGAATAAGTCCAACCATATTGCGCTTCTCATCATGAAAGCGACAATATCGCCGGACATTTCTGAAGCACTCCCTAAGAAAGATACTGCTAAAGATTTCCTCACTGAAATGGAGGAGCAATTTAAAGGCTCCGACAAAGTGTATGCTCATGAGCTTTTTGCTAAACTTCTTCAGAAATACACTATTGACGGAAATGTTAGGCAGCACATATTGAGGGTGGTAAATGCTTTCACCAAGCTTAAGGCTTTGGAGTGTTCTTTAAGTGAAGCCCTTCTTGTCATAATTATTCTTGAGTCTCTTCCTGAAGAGTTTGAACAATTTAAGGTCAACTATAACTCTCTAAAGGAAAAATGGCCACTCTCTGAGATGACCGCAAGGATCGTCTAGGAGGAAGAAAGGATCATGAGGCAGAAGAAAGACCATGTCTTTCATGTTGGCTCTAACAAGAGAAAGCATGACGGACAAGGTTTCCCTAAGCCTCAGAAAAGGCAAGTCAAGAAAGAAGGCACTAAGCCATTCAACCCTAAGGCATTCAAGGGTAAAGAAGCCGGTGGTTCTTCTTCTGCTCCTAGCAGCTCCACTGCTGGAGAAAATGCTTGTAACTTCTGCAAAGAAGAGGGACACTATCAAAGGGACTGCCCAGGCTTTCTAAAATGGATGAACAAAAGAGGTATTGATGAAATTACTTTTGTAGATGAATCACTTTATGTTGATTTTTCAATAAAGTCATGGTGGATTGATTCAGGGGCAACCACTCACGTTGCTAACTCTATGCAGGGATTCGATACGATCCAAACCATAAGAGGAGGAACAAGAAAACTTAAGGTTGCGAACGGAGTTGAGGCCGATGTTGAAGCTGTGGGATCTCTCACGTTGGAGCTACACACTGGCCACACTCTTAGATTGAATAATGTTATTTATGTGCCTACCTTAAGTAGGAATTTGATTTCAGTTTCTCGTTTAGATGATGATATGTATGAGTGCCATTTTGGCAAGAAACAATTTGCTTTGATCAAATGTAATAAGAATGTAGGCATCGGTGTTAGACGAGGCCAACTATACATGTTATCTCTTAATAATGATTCAGTTATGCATGTGAGTGATGCAATTAATGTTGAGAACAAATGGAAAGGAGTAAGTAATTCTTCGAAATTGTGGCATTGTCGTTTGGGCCACATTTCGAGGGGGAGAATGGAACGCTTAGTTAAAAATGAAATACTCCTCCCATTAGACTTCTCAGATGCAGACAAATGTGTCGACTGCACTAAAGGAAAATTTGCAAAAACAATTAAGAAAGGAGCAGTTAGAGCCACAAGGGTTTTAGAATTAATTCACACCGACATATGTGGACCCCTTAATGTTAAGTCTGTAGATGGTTTTGATTCGTTCATTACATTCACAGATGACTTTTCCCGCTATGGGTATATTTATCCCATACGTGACCGATCGGAAGCTTTGGAGAAATTCAAAGTCTATAAAGCGGAGGTTGAAAATCAACTGAACGCAAAAATAAAAGTTGTACGGTCTGATCGCGGGGGAGAGTATTATGGTAGGCATGCTCCTTATGGGCAGATTCCTGGACCTTTTGCCAAGTTCTTATCTGAAAGTGGAATCATTGCTCAGTACTCAATGCCTGGTGAACCACAACAAAATGGTGTGGCCGAGCGCCGCAACCGCACCCTTATGGATATGGTGCGAAGCATGCTTAGTCACTCTAGTTTACCAGTAAGCCTTTGGATAGAGGCATTAAAGACAGCTGCACACATACTAAATCTTGCTCCAACTAAGTCAGCACCGAACACACCTTACGAGATGTGGGCGGGAAAGAAACCGAGCTTGAATTACTTACGGGTGTGGGGTTGTCCTGCTGAAGCTAAAGTTTTCAATCCACAACTTAAGAAACTGGATCCAAAAACAGTTAGCTGTTTCTTCGTTGGATACCCTCATAGGGGAAAGGGATATCGTTTTTATTGTCCAAGACACACCACCAAGTTTGTGGAGACTAGACAAGCGGTATTTTTTGAGGATAATGAGGTCACAAATTTAAGGGAGATCAATCTTGAGGAGAAGCGGGTTTGTGTACCATCCCCGACTATCCAAGAGATTGTTTTTCCAATACGAAGAAATGTGACATCTGATGATCCTGAATCTCACGGTTCAGTCTCTCAGTCAAGTGGTGATCCAGAAACTAATAATGAGAATCCAAACACAAATGAGGATCTCAGAGAAAATAATGAAAATGATGATGTTCCACCACCACCTCCGCCCATGGGTAGACCACGGCGTGAGAGGAAGAAAGCCATATCAGATGATTATATCACTTTTTTGATGGAGGACATGAATGATATGGGAAAGGTGGAGGATCCAACCTCATATAAGGAAGCCATTAAAAGCGAAAATCCGTCCAAATGGTTGGTTGCCATGGAAGACGAGTTGAAATCTATGGGCTCAAACGATGTATGGGACTTAGTAGAAGTTCCCGGTGGAGCTAAGAAAGTAGGCTGCAAGTGGGTCTACAAAACCAAGTATGATTCCAAAGGGAATGTCGAACGGTTCAAGGCAAGGCTAGTGGCAAAAGGGTATACACAGAGAGAAGGCATTGATTATAAGCAAACCTTCTCCCCTGTGTCAACCAAGGATTCTTTCAGAATCATAATGGCATTAGTAGCTCATTACGACCTAGAACTACACCAAATGGATGTTAAAACGGTATTTCTAAATGGTGACTTAAAAGAAGATGTTTACATGGCTCAGCCAGAAGGCTTTGTTGTGGAAGGAAAGGAACATTTAGCATGTCGTCTAAAGAAATCAATTTATGGCTTGAAGCAAGCTTCAAGAGAGTGGTACCTCAAGTTTGATAAAATTATCAAAACTTTTGGTTTCACCGAAAATGTTGTGGACAACTGCATATACGTTAAGTTTAAAAGCAGTAGGTTCACATTTTTAGTCCTATACGTTGATGACATATTGTTGGCATGTAGCGATAAGGATATGCTGCATGAGACCAAGAATTTTCTGTCATCCAGTTTTGATATGAAAGATCTTGGTGAAGCCTCGTATGTCCTCGGCATCGAGATTCATCGAGATAGGTCCAGAGGAACGTTAGGACTATCTCAAAAGGCATACTTTGAGAGAGTACTGAAAAAATTCAATATGCATAAGTGCTCACCCTCACCTGCTCCTATAGTTAAGGGCGATAAGTTTGGGACATTTCAATGTCCGAGGAACCAATGTGAAACTGATCAGATGAAGTCGGTTCCTTATGCTTCAGCTGTTGGAAGCATCATGTATGCTCAAGTGTGTACACGCCCAGACTTATGTTTTGTAACCGGGGTGCTTGGCAGATACCAATCAAATCCAGGGCCGGACCACTGGAAGGCCGCAAAGAAAGTCTTGCGTTATATGCAAGGAACTAAGGACTTCATGCTTACATATAAAAGAACTGATAACCTAGAAATTGTTGGTTATTCAGACTCTGATTTTGCCGGATGTGTGGATAGTATGAGATCCACGTCAGGTTATATATTCACACTCGCGGGAGGAGCTATATCGTGGAAAAGCTCCAAACAAACGTTAACTGCTGGATCTACGATGCAAGCAGAATTTGTAGCATGTTATGAGGCCACCGGGCAGGCTGTATGGCTAAAGAATTTTATACCCGGACTTAAAGTGGTTGACAGCATATCTAAACCAATTTTATTGTACTGCGATAATGAACCAGCAGTTTTCTATACGAGTAACAACAGGTCAAGTAATGCTGCCAGACACATTGACATAAAGTATCGTGTTGTGAAAGATAGAATCCAGGATCAAACAGTTGATGTTAAACATATAAGAACGAAGCATATGCTTGCGGATCCGCTAACAAAAGGCTTACCACCCAGTATCTTTCGTGAGCATGTTGCCGGCATGGGACTACTGGAGGCCTGATGATTCTGGAATAAGAGGACCATTAAAATAAACCACTCCCCAATTAGTAAAATGTTTTCCATTTCGAAATAGGCGGGTGTACTATAAGTGTTGAGGTTCTATGGCGTTTTGAGCTGTTGTAACACCTCACTTTGGTACATCATTCCTATATAGAATGGGCGAATGAAGTTAAGCCTAACGATCAAGGGGGAGAATGTTGGTTTTGATCTGACGGCTTAAACAGGCAGTTAGATCTATTAGTCTAACAAAAAAAAAGGATAAAGGGATAACGATAAGTGAAGGGGTCCACGTACCAACGTACGTGAGCCTCGATCAGAACTAACGCGCCCTGATCGGGGGCGCCCAAAAACCAACTCAGGTTTTGGGTCCCCTGTCGCCAGCGCCATATTAAAAGGGATACGGGAGAGAGCTGGGCACCTGCGAGATTACAATTCACGTAAGGCTTACTCTCCTCCCGATATTCTCTCACCCCATCCGATCAAGGGGAGTGCTGCAGCGACGGGAAGACCTAAGCCAGCCGCCGCCGCTGTCCCTGGGCAGTGCCGGTGGCGTCCTGAAGGAATCAGGACGTCGAGGAGAACATCTACTTCGACTACATCACCCCTGCATCACGCCTGCACCGAGCAGGCGATCATGTCCACTCCCGTGACATGTAAAGAAACCCTAAACCCTTCTCTATTCATGTTTTAGGTGATCTAGATGCAATCTGTTTCTGCTAATGGCATCCCAGAGATGCATAATTTATCCAACACGTACCTCAAACCACAAAAGGACTGCCGTGTCCTCATTGGTGGTTTCCGGTGTCCAGATGCTCTCCCGACAGCATTAGGAAGTGAGGTGAGAATGCTATACCTCAGAGTTTTTTTAAGCTCTTCAACCATGAAGTGGATGCACTCTACAATGCAGTAAATTCTCTTTCTTGTGCGCTTCAATTTCAGACCACCTAAATGTAGACCTCCCAAATGTCTCATTACAATCGACTATCACAAGATATTCATTCTTTTTTCCAGTTGACATGATATTTGGGAGTTACATTCTCAAACATTTCCAGTATAAGCTTGCTTACTGCCCCAGTCGTTCTGTGTTTGTTTATTCTTTCAGTATATAATTCCTTAGATGTTGTATTGAGCAATTGCCCAGTAGAAAGTACTCTGATGTCGGCAGATGTTAAATGAATATCACTGTGAATTGTAATCAATATTTTGCACCTTTTTTTCTGCTTTTTTGGAAACAAAAGTTTTCTTACCATGAAGTACTCTGTTTTTTTTCCATGTGTGAGAACCATAAAAACAATTTTGCTTCATCAGCATTACTATTCAAATCCATGCTCAAGTTAGATGAATGCTGCATATCGCCCATCATACCTTAATGCTACCTTTTGTGATTCTTCTTCTTGGTATTGTAGGAACAACTCTCAGAATTGGTTCGTGAATGTCCAGATAACTCCATCATCCAGGAAAAGATGAAGGTTTGTCTGCATTCAACTAATTTTATGCTAGAAACATTGTCATGATTTAGTTTGTTGTACATATCTGAAAATCATTTTCTTATATAGATTCTCAGTAAGCATTATGTGCTCTTCCGAAGAACTCGCCAAGATGGCAGCTGCTTTTACAGAGCTTTTCTGTTTTCCTACATGGTAACTGTTTCAGTTTACTTACTCATGATGATTTCTTGATCTGCATGGAAATGTAATATAAATAGGCTTGTCTACAGGAGATCCTTCGACAAATGCAAGATAAACAAGCTGAGGTTACTCGTCTTATGGAATGTTTCGAAATGTATACAGATAGATTCTCTCGTCTTAAGTGGGACGAAGCATACTTCTTAAATCCTGAAAAATACTTCTCAAGTGTTGTTTCTGTAAGTACTGTACTAGCTTGCAAAAGCATAAACCTTTTTTGCCTTATCTCCTTATCCATTTACGTGCAAAATAATTATGTGGAACGAATATGCTTGCTAACAATTGTATGTATCTCTTGTGTTGCCTGAATTGTTCTGAAAAATAACTGAACTCGTTCTGCCTCCTCAGATTTTTAGTCTGAACAATGCCTTAAAGAAAATAACAAATAGATAAGATGGTGTAGAGTGCAGGACAACTACATGGGTAGGGCACTAGAATGTTTCATTCTTTCTCAGTTGTATAAAATTTTCAGTTTGCCATGTTTTATTTTGTTCTTGATGATTGTAGTTTTACTTTCAAATTTTTGCTACATTATGGGCACTATCTAACAGCTATAAGTGCTTGCTGCTAACACTAAATTCACTATGGACATAATTGAGCATTATGTATAAATCAAAATGATCTTTGGTCGAACTTATATGATATTGTTTCGCCACTACTTCTGGAAGAGGGATGGACTCCTGTAGCACTTTGACATTCTCTTCATGATATAGCTTAAATTACATACATAACCTAGTGTCTTCACTTTGTTTCAGGAGCTCAATGAGGTTCTCAACGTCATTGCAGCAGGGTATGTGTATGTTTTAACTTGATATTCATAGAAAGGTCTTGACGATATGTTTAAGATACCCTTATTTCGTGTTAGTTATATTTTTGTTTACAAACAAGTTCGTTTGTCTTTTGTAGTTGTACTTCTGAATGGCTGTACCAGAGAAGCCTGCAGGAGTCCTTTTCAGGCAGGAGTAAGGATATCAGTCCTTGTTTAGGATGTGTTGTTTCTCTATTTGTTCTTTATATAACATTATGTCCTTTTTGCCAGTTATATCTTTCCTTAGGTTGCTTACTGAGACTGAAATCCGGACAGAAGAGTTCTACAAGCAATCTATCCCCAAAAATGTGAATGTCCTCCAGGTGGAGTTTCTGCTCCCATGTACTATCCTCGGATATCATTCTCGATATAGTACAGACGGATTATCTTGTCCTGTGTCTTTGAGACTTAGCATACTTATTAAAGTTTTATCAGCAATTCTCGTGGTGTATGAGTTTACCTTTCTCTCTGGATAAACATTTAAACTCAGAAATAAAGTTTGCCACTGGTCAATTTTTGTGATTTAAGGTAATAAAGGATTAACCAATACTACGTTTACCACTCACAGATTACACTCACCATTATTTCATATATATGGTTGTGATAACAGTTCTGTTGGAAAACGGTGCAATCGCTGGATGCTGAAGCTACCACTACACAAATGAGGGCTTTGACATACACGCTCGGCATACCGTTGCGTGTCGAAGTCGTGGATAAGAGCTCGACGGGTCAAGTTGTGTTAGTGAAGCGCCTCGATTTCTTTCATCAGTCAGACTTGAACAAGGGCCCTCTCCATTTGACTCGGAGCTACCTTTCCTCGAGCACAGCTCCTAAACTGCTGGAGGAGGGAAGCAACGACGCCGACTTGTTATCATCTGATGGCGCACCCTTGCTGACCTTGTTGTGTAGGCGTGGTCACTGTGACATTCTTTACCGCAAGTGAACAAACTTTGCGAGTTCGCTTCGTTGACAAAAACTTCCTCCGGGATGATTACAGGGAAGCCTACCGACAATCTTGTATAGTGTGTGTGCGTGCGCCCGTTTGTGGGTCTGCTCCCAAACAACCTGTGACTCCTCTGCTCCTTGGTTTTCTCATTCTTGCTGATGCTGTTGTTAGTTACTCCTGTATTTGAAAGGAAGCTACAGGATGGAAGATGTGATAGGAACATATGAAGAATTATTGGGATACTGTTGTTTGCAAGTTTTGCCACATCAAATCTGGCTTATATCAGATTCTGTGACTTGTGATTTTCTTTTTTGAATAAGCAATTTCAATATGAGTTTGACTGCTAATGCGAAGTCAAGAACTTCTTTAAAACCAAACTTAGCTTATATCAGATGAATGGGACATTGAATATGAATCTTGTGTAATCTTTAATTTTATTTTTCTTCACTGGATTCTTACCTCTTCACAAACAAGCGAGAGTGCATGCCAAAATCTTTGTTTCAGTTTGTAGCAGTATGGTGCCAATCCCAGTTACTTTAAAATATTGAAATTTGCACTTCCTGTGAAAACTTAAGGATACTTATATGTACACTTAGGGAAGTGAACCATTGTTATTAATCAGATCACATTTGTTAATGGCCTAGTTTCTTCTCAGTTTGGCTTATTGATATCTTGACGGTTTTCCAAGATGATTTTCACTTCTTTGTAGTAAAGCCATGCAAGTGCCATGTAAAACGGTTTTCAATCAGAACCCAAGCCATCTACTGGCACTGACAGCAAAAAAAAAAAAAAAAAACTCGACCAACGGACACTAAGATGTGTCGGCAAACTGAGACAACCAATAATCTGGCAACTGTAAGTTACCACGCTACCTGAGTAATCTCAGGACATATAAGATCCAGATATCGATAATCAAATATATGAGTGGCAGAATAAAACTGATATAGCATATCAGCAAACCTTGAGCTGCCCAGAAGGCCAGAACACAACCACCAGGACTATCCTCAAACGGAAAAGAAAAATCCAGAGCTGCTCAGCCACACTTTCCAACACCAAGTTACTCCCTTCTAATTTGCACAGAAAGATCGGTGTCCACCCGCTGCTTCCCGGACATAGTATAGTTAGCTGCGCTATGATGTGTCCCAGTTTGGTCACAAAAAGGGATCGAGTTGCGCAAACAGCCCGAGTCTTGTTTCACAAACTAGGATCTTTGTATTTTGTAGACCGCCCACCAAAGGCTCCTGATACCGGACGGCACACGGACAAACCAGCACAAAAAAGCCATGGCGGTAGCAGTCATGAAGCTTGCAGTGTGATTTCCCGGGCAAGATTTGAGATAATTGTCAAGGAGAACGGTGATGCCTGCCGATCCACACGCTGCGCTGAAGATCATTGCTCGTGTGACCTATGGGACAAAACATCAGGGTCAAAAACCAAACGTTTTTAGGGGAGAGAGAGATAGACATGACCGGTAAATGATTCTTTGCCTATTCAAAACATAATGAATGACAGATAGTTGTTTGTTTGAGGTGCCCGAGAAAACATGACTTAACCAGTCGCCGATGGAGAGTATGATGGCAGCTCGGGCATTTCGGAAGAAACGTTTGACAAGAAGTGCATAGACACTCCTAATGGCCACAACGAGGCTCCACAGGCATTGCACAGTTGCTGTTACTACGAGGTAGCTGCTCAAAAGAACAACAATAAGTTCATCTACAGAAGGCCAATTTTTTTTCAGTATTTTCATTTCTAACAGAAGCATCCTAAGTAAAAACCATTGATTTACGCCATCTAATTGGGTCACAGAAATAAGATATGCTAGTTCCTGATACTACTCCCAATTCCCCAATAGTGAATGTGGATCTTCAAATGTTTTCCTCAAGAAGGAAATGCATGTACACAATTGTCCATTACAATCACAGCATCCTGAATTCTGGTAACCAAAATGTGAAGAAAACTTATCAGCGTACGTACACATCAAGATCCTTTTTACTGAATGCCTAGGAAACTATGTCATGTAAATTCACCACACACACGCCCAAAAAAACCCGTATATGAAGATCAATCTCCTGATTTTCGCAGAAATGCTTATGATTATGGTCAGCAAAAGGTGTCAAGCTAAACATTGGTGTATCCAAATAAGACAAGTTAGATAACATCAGAGGGAACATGATGATGCAACCATCTGATCGTACTGCCTCCTCCAGGATGGAGTATTTGACAAAAAACTACCACATTATGGGCTGCCGTCCCACAGAACTACCACATTCAAAAAAGTGACTGATAACTACAAAAATTTCAAATTCTGTGACTAAAAACTACCACTTTTGAAAAATGGCAAGTTTAGATGATTTAAACACGTTTATGACATGCGGGCCCACCTGTCAGGGCTGACGTGGCGGCAAAGTCAACTCCGTTTTTGTAACCGTTGAGCTGAACCGTTATGACAGGTGGGGCCCACACACTACTAGGGAAAGCCTTATACACATAATTTTAGCTGTAGCGCTTGTTAAAAAACGGCGATACTGCTAAATAGCAGTAGCGCGTGCTGGATAAACGTGCTGCAGACACAAACGTAGCAGTAGCGCGTCTCCTTTTAAAAGCGCTACTACTAAAATTCTCACTACTAAGCCGACAGGCTACATATAATAGTAGCGGTCTTCTAGAAAGAGCACTACCGCTAAGTTTATTTTAGCAACACGTTTACTATGAAACGCGCTACTGTTAATGAAAAGAAAATTAAATGAAAAAAATATAAAAGTAAATGAAAATGAAAGAAATAAAAAAAGAAGAAAGGAAAAAAATAAAATGTAAAGAAAAAGAAATGAAAAAAGGAAAAAGGAGAAAGGAATAGCAGTAGCGTCTGTTCATCAGAGACGCTATAGATAACTTAGCAGTAGCGCTTGTTTAGACCCCCGCTATAGAAAGAGAAAAGGAAAGGAAAATACATAGCTATAGTTGTAGCGTGTTTACCGAACTTAGCTATAGCGCTTTTACATAAATGCGCTACCGTTAAGTTTGACTTAACTCAAAAGCGGTTCCCCCCGGCCACCACTTCTCTCCCAAATCTTTCGCCCCACTTCGCCGCCGTCTCCCTAATTCACCATGGCCCTACTTCGCCGCCGTCTCCTGCCGACGTCAACGCCCCCGGAGCCACCAGAGCCACGCGCCATCGACGCCACCGGAGCCGCGCGACCTCATCAACGCCACCGGAGCCGCCCTCGGCGCCAGCGGAGCCACCCTCGACGCCCTGCCTTCCTCGCCACAACTGCCTCCCTCGCCCTCACTGGAGACGCCCCTGCCTCCCCCGCCGCCACTGCCTCCCTCGCACGACCGGAGCCATCCTCTGTAAGCCCCCACCCCTCCTCTCTCTCTCTCTCATGCATAGCACAAACATTGGACAGAGAACTAGCTAGCTAGGTTAACTAGTTTAATTATCTAGGTTAGTGCAAAAATTTAGTTAGGGCTTTGACAGAGAACTAGTTAGGTTAACCAGTTTAATTAGATTAATTATCTAGGTAAACTAGGTTAACTAGCTAGGTTAACTAACTAGATTAAATAGCTAGGTTAATTAGGTTCGTTAGGTTAACAAGCTAGGTTAACTAGGTTCGCTAGGTTAGAGGAAAAAATTATTTTAGAGCATTAGATGAGAAGGGTTAGAGAAATGGAGTTTCTTTGCAATTTAATTGGGTTTTGTCCTAGGCAGAGAAGCGTTAGAGAAAATAATCTCTGTGTGTGTGTGAGAGAGAGAGAGAGAGAGGAATACTAGAACAGAATTTGGGTTTTGTCCTAGGCAGAGAAGTGTTTAGTGAGGTCATTTTGCAAAGGTTTTTGATTTTCGAAAAGACCACTATTTTTCTAGGAAAAGAATTTAGGCAAGTTTTATTTTAAAGATGATCCTTTCTAGACTTTTATTATTGTTTCCAGGGAAATGTGGTTCTATTGTGGCCCGGTTAGTCATGTTATATCTTTTCATTGAAGTGTGGTTCGATGTGCCCACGTGGCCTTTTGTTGTTTCCAGGGAATGAAGCGCGGGTGGCCTATGTTTTGCTGGAATGTTGATTCATTTTTGTTCCGGCAAATTTTAGGTGCTCGATTTGTCCACTTTTTAGCAAAGGTCATGCCCAAATTTTTCGTGAATTTAGGCATGACTTGTGCTACAAACTAGGACATGTCGAGTGCCCGCGAGTTGCCGCACCGGGAAGGAGTCAAGTCCCTGCAAAGCATAGGCCTTTTTTATGTCATTATTCATTTTATTAGGTCTAGAACTAATTTACTAGATTTAATCATAGGAAACATGGCTAGCAATGATGAAGGAAAGGGTTCTGGTGACTGCGACAACGTGTACCTGGCGGCAGAGGAATTTTTGAGGGAAGCCGACGATCAACAGTTGATGTTGCTGGGTCCACCTGTCACATCGGAGACTGAGACCGACATCGAGACCGGCACTGAGACTAAGACCGGCATCCAGACCGGCGCTGAGACTGAGACCGGCATCGAGACCAGCGCTGAGACTGAGACCGGCATCGAGACCGGCGCCGAGACTAGCAGAGCCGGTATAGAACCGAAAGCAATGAGGCGACGACTTCCTAACAAGCTCAGGACTACTAGACCAGTGGTCACGGAAGTGGACGACGGCAATTTTGAGCCAAACGCGCCCGAGGAGGCGCGCGCGTGCTACGACAATCAAATAGGCTGCATCATACGGACAACCGCCACCATCAACGATGAGAAACTAAACAAAATAGATAATATGAGGCCCTCCCTCCTAAAGAAGCCGCACCAAATATTCTTGTTCCCGGGCCGGAGTGAAAAGGATTATAAAGATCCAGATAAGGACCAGATAATGAAGAACATAAACAAACATGCCATGAGCAAGTTTAGCGACACGTTGGCCACCTGGAAAGCAAGGGTGAAATATCGGATCGTCGACGAAAAGGAACCATACTCCGAGATTGTAAAGGATAATCCGACAATCACGACAGAGCACTTTGAAA